TGAGGACAGCCATAGACAACACTCTGATACAGCAGTGCTTTAGTATTAAAGGCGCTACAGTTCATAAATGTGTGTGTTATATGCTAGTACATATAGCAAGGCACTATTTCAATGCACTATCAATTCAGTATAAGAGGACAACAATATATATTTTTGCATGCCATTTTACACAGTGTGTCAAATACAAACAAATACAAACAGATGCAGCTCCGTTGACTCCAGTGTCATTTTCTCTATTCATTAGAATTTGGCTTAGCAGTAGCAAGATTTTATGACTTGATCCTGTGACTGCAGTTCAGGCTGCATGGTCCAGAGTGCTGCTGCTCCTCAATGGTCTGGCACCCGCACCGGGCAGCCCAGGGCTCTCTTTCTCTCACAGGAGCCAAACCCTTGCAGGCTGTGGTTCCCCGGTCTTATACCGAGGGTCCTCCCTTTCCCAGGCCCTGCTTTGAGCACCAGGGCTCTTTTAGTTAAAGGCGGAGCCGCACTGCGCCGATTCGCACGCTGCTGAAGCTCACGTGGGGCCCCGAGGACTGCACTCTCTGGAGCTCCTCTCTCCTCACCGTCCCTCCTTGCTTGTCCCCAGCGTGCCAAGCACACTCCCCTTTTATACTCTTCAGGGGCGCCACCCCGCAAGTTCCCCAGACCTGGCCAGCGCAGTTCCGATTCAGGTCCAGCTGCTCATAAAAGGGCGGGGCATTGCGTCCCTTGTGCTGCCTCCAGATTGGTGGGCGGGCTCCACCAATCAAACAGCAGATCCTCGATCCTGGGACTCAACCCAAGCTCTGAACAGGTAATCCTGCTACACACCCACTTTCAAAATACACTGAAGCAGGACTAGGAAAAACTAAAATACAGGGAGACCTTCAGAGTCTGTTCATTTATGGACAACAAGTAGTGGTTATCAACAGGAGCTATTGTCTGGCAAGCAGTCAACTCTCTGATGAAAGTGCTGCTAAAATGACTTCAGTTTGTCTCAGACAAGTGCCCATAACAAAAGAAGCAGGGATTTGAGACTTGAGGAAGAATGTCTTGTATTTGAGAGCTTGCCTAATTTTATCCCAACTACATAGTTAGTCCAATAAAAGATATCACATTCAGAAATCCTTGCCACTTGTATAATTTCTGGACCATCACAGCTACAGCATCGCTCTTACACTACCGTAACAAAAGACAAAACTGTGTGTGGGCTAAAGCTGCCTAGTATTTACATTGGGTATCAAACACTTCATGCCAAAGTGTTTTCAGTTCAATGAAGTCTCTAACACTTTATAAGAACACTATAGTTTCAGGCAGCCCAGTTGATAAAAGTTTAAAGAATAAAAAGCACTTCTTAGAGCAAATAAACTGTGAAAAACAATGTACCAGTTACAATTGACATTTATGAGCCTACTTCTGGCAGTAACCATCATGCTAAAAAAAAAAAAGACACCCGGGACTCTGGGAATATTCAGGCTCAAGATACTTCAGCCTACGGATTGCAAGTAAGTTTAGTAAGACTGTAAAGGAAGGTCTTCAGGAGTGCAGCATTTAATATTTATACTCAATGATTAAACTGATACTAATAACGGGCTGATGCTGGCAACAATCCAGGGCCGAGCCTCAGCTGCTATAAATTGTCACAGCTCCATCCATTTCAGAGGAATTGTCCCTGCAAGTTTCCAGCAGGGCCAGGAAAACTCTCATCTTGTTAAGCTAAGCAAAAAATTTGCCCTCCTGACCGCAGTTACAGGAAGAGCATGACTGTAACTTGTTACCTGGCAGGCTTTTATCCTACCTCCTCTATTGAGACTGGTTTGATATGACACCCTCTCCATTAACACCGTAGGTGGAAACAAAGCTCTGAAAAGAGCCCAAACAGCTTGGTTTTCAGGGAAGCCGGGTTATATTCTTGTTCCCTCCCTCGAGGCTGAGTTTGATGGAGGAATGTAAAACATGCATTTAGCCATCTTGCCCATAGTAAAATACTATTACTTCTGACCTGAGTTAAAAATTAAAACTGGCCTCCCATATCAATTTCCTTCAAAACCAGGGAAGGTGAGCTGTGATCTCTACTGCACCTTTGAGAACATATTTGTACTCGGTGTTCTTTCCGTGGCGTTGTATACAGTGCACTGCCAAATAAAATCAGAGCATTAATTTTGGAAAGGGCCAACTAGACGTGTGAATTCTGTTGCTCAAGGGTGCTTTCCTTACAAGGAAAGTGAGGCAGGAGACTAATTTCAATGCTGAAACTGAAGCTGGATGTATTCAGGTTTCTCCAGATTTAATGCATTTCACCAGTCTGCCTAGCAGACGGTCAGAAAGGAAAGAGAAAGGTGGTAAGGAAGACTTTTGGGGAACAGGTACAGTTTCACTTCAGAGATGATACACAGGACAGGGTTTCAAGGGAGAAAATTTGAACACAGGGCAGGTGAGAAAGGCCCAAGCACTGGACTGAAGTCACCTCCACTGAGCGTACCCACAGCCACTGGGCCATCTCCCTCCCTCTCTGAACATTAGGGTTTACCAGCTTCTGATTGGGGTGCTTAGGACAGCCGATAGGGAGAACAGTTGAGCCTACACAATTTAAAGATCAATTTCCCGAGGCCAAGTTTTTGGTTCAGTGCTTGGTTTCTCTTAATCTGATTTTCCCCAGCTTGCTTTGGAAGCTTAAAAATGCCCCGAGAGACCCATTTAGAAAGACACAGGCTCTAACGAGTTGGTCAGATGGGTTGGTCCTACATCTCTACAAGGGTATTTGTTTTTTTTTTAAAGTTAGTTGCTGTTTAATTGCTACTCTGGAGTCAATTTAGCAAAGCCATTCCCTAGTTTAAGGTGACTCTCTGCATTCCCACCAAATTATTCAGCACAAGGCATTCATCTAAGATACTAAACTGAAGCTTTAGGAGCTGAATGGGTCACTCCAATACAGATTTAATTTCCATGAAATTCCTCCATGAAAATCCACTAACTCCTCTTGGCTCTGACAGACAGGCAAAAACTGGCCAGTACCTTTTTGAACTGACTACTTCTTAAATGCATCCCACCCCTTGTGTAAATATGAATCCAGGGTGCCTTTGAAGTAATCAGGCTTCTGCACTGTGTGAGGAAAAAAAGGCAGAATCTGTCTTTTAATCAATGAACATGAATCCTATAAGCTGAATATATAGGTTTAGGGCTTATTTCTGCAGCAAATCAGGAGTCTTGCCATTAGCTTCCCCTTGAATAAAGGTTGGTGGAACAGAGCCTTCTCAACAGCATGCAGAATTATTTGGTTCCTGAATCAAATTCTGGCTCTAACAACAACAGAGAAGAAAAATTTTTGGCTTTCTGCAGTCCTAGCAAACAGTCCCATTTTCCAATAGGCAAAAATTGTCTTACGACAGAATAAGTGCCAGAAGTGCACAAAGTTAAGTACCTAGCACTTCATTATATATTAGCATGCATTCAAAAGGCAACTGTCTTGAGTTGTAGATATATTTGAGAGACCTACTGTAAGAATCTGGATTTTCTTGGCATAACATACATACCAGTTTTCATGTATAAAATGACATACCGTTCTCTGACTTGATTATTCTAACATCCCTAGCCAAAGCAGGAGGCTTTTCAGAGAGAATAAATAGAGTATTAAGAATGTCTGCTATATGCAGGTAAAAAGTTGTAGAAACTCCTGGCCAAAATAGACAAGCTGCTATAATAAATTGGATTTTGGGATGTAGCAGTGCCTGTTGTTTGATGGATTTAAAAAACACCAAAGGAAACATTTCTTTAATGGAGTAATTTCACTAGCTGAAGTAAATAGCACAGCTTGATTTCTTTAATGCCCTAATGAAACTTCCAGTAAAATGTTATCATGCAGAAGCAGCAAACTCCAGGAATCATCCTGCACAGTTTTAGATGCTCATTTTCAGGATAATGTGTCTGGAATTTAGTTTTTCTTGTTGCAGTTGTTCAGAGGACTCCTCTTAAGTGGAGGTTTAAAAATTAAAGATAAGAATTCCAGATGACTGAAGGAATGCCATACGTATCAATAATCAAAATTCTCAAATAAGTAAAACAAACGGTGTAACTATCTACTACACATAGTCTATTTAGATCTGCCTGCAAGCCCAGAAGGATTTCCTTTCAGTAACTGGAGGTAGACTTTTAAACAATGAAGTATTTGGCGGTAATATCTGTTTCGAGCTGACATAGATTTACGACAGTCTCTAAAACCCTACACATAATTGTATCATCACATTCCAAGATATTTTAGAGAAACCTCTCTTATGGCAGCTACAGGCAGCAATATAAGCTCCAAACCAAAGGTTGTAGTAATAGTGGCAGCAAACTAAAAGTTAAATGTTGGTACAGCAGTGATTCAAAGTCGAATCGTGCTGGCCGACCTGTGTGGATAGTACCCCCTGCCGGGTCAGCAAAGGAAATGCATGTGACACTGGCAATCGATGCCAATTCTGAGATGAAGTATCACATGCAGGCCAAAAAAGGAAATCAGAGCTCTAATCGTGGCCATAACATTAAAAAGTAACTGAAAGTCAGTTCATTATCAGGCTTTTTAGTTATAACTTAAGCAGGCCTGCCAAATTTCACCCAGCACGTAAAACACATTGGAACGTGTTAAAATCAGTTTATTATTCAGCATTTGTCAATTAAAATATCTAAATAGCGAAGGATAGAGAACCTTACATTCCAAATGAGCAAAGGTCATGATTTCTCTCAATATCAGCTAGCATCCCTTCCCCACAAGGCTGTTCCCCAGAGGAAAAGAGGGTATTATGCATGTCAGCGGCGGTAGAACTCGCAAGGATGCTCCGCCACCAAACTGAGAAACAATCTTGAACAAAACCCTGTGAACAAAGCTGTTTTCAACCAGGTACCATTTTATTCTCATGCATGACTGCATTAAAAATGAACGTTCAACATTATACTAAGTGGTCTTTTAAACATACAAAGGCAAGTCAAACTGAAAAGATGGTTGCTTGATATTGCTTATTGTCACCATCAAGGATTCTCCTTTCTCACTCTTTTGTTTTAAAGGAATCTACACTCAGATTGTCAAATGTATCAGATAATGGTTGGACTGAAAAATGTTTTCTAAGTCTCTCTAAAGCCTTACAACTCCTAGTACGGGAGACCCTTTCAGCACTGAGTTCAATTTTAACAGATTCCAATTCCCTTTTTATTTTCCTTATTTCTACACCGTACTGCATTTTCACCTTTTCTATGGTGGTCTTATTTCCAAGCTCCTGTTGCTGTTTTAACTTCATAAATTCTTGCTGTAAATCTTTGTTCTTTAGCTCTAAATTCTGAATTTCTTCTCTTGCCTGAAGCAGCTCTTCATTTAAGCTTCTTATGTGTGCTGATTTTTCATGTAAATCTTGTTTTAAAGCTTGAAGCTCCAAATCTTTTTTTAAGCTGTCCCTTTCAATCTGCTCTAACTGGAAAGTTTTGCAGCGAACCTCTTTTTTCAAATTTAGAAGTTCTTGTTCAGCATTTTCAAAGTCCATTTCTATTTTTTTGTATTTAGCTGTAAGTTCCCCTAACTCTGCATTCAAGGAGGACAGCTGAAGTTTCAGAGAAACTCCTTCCAAATGGTTCTTGTGCATTTCTTGTCGCAAAGCTGCTAATTCCTTTGCATTCCAGATACAATGACCCTCTGTTTCCTTTAAGCTTTCTTCAGTTCCAACATCTAAATTACCAGCTCCACAGCAGGCAGAATCCCCTTCTGTTTCCTCCTTTGAAATGTTTATCTTTGCACCTACTAAGTTTGGCTCGGCTTCTCGAACAATGAGTTTGGAAAGACTTTCTTTTCTTTTGAGCCCTTTTTCTTCCTGAAATTTTATAATTGCCATATTGTAGATTTCTTCCACTCTCTTAGCTCTCTCGAAAGCCAGTTTTTCAGACATCAGTGATTCAAGCTGGTAGACTCGACTAAAAAAGTCCTGTGCAGTGAAATGAGGAGCAAACAACTTCTCCACCCAGTGCTTGCTCTCCTCTTCTAAAGTTTCCATTACCTGGTAGTACAAAAACAAAAGATTGCATTTAAACATTGACAAGAATTTGAATTTTAAATTACATTGTAAAAAAAGCAAAGGGTTAGCTTCAGGAGCCTCTGCTCATATTGAGTCGTGCCTGACTCAAGACCTCGTTGGGAGTACTCATTCAGTAACATGCTTTCATTCATGAATAAGCATATTAGTAGCCACTGCAAAGTGTCTAGCATCATACACATACCAACCACAATTATACAGGAACCCAATTGTGTTTTAGCTGCCTATATGAGATTAAGCTAAACTGATCTCAGGAAACTGTTTGGTGACTGATTCTGTTTAAACACACACACCTATACACATGCCCGCACAAACACACACACACACTATTATTCACATGCAACATGTGCACACACATGCACTTATTCACATACAGGGCACATCCTATTTGTAACCAGGAAGGGTTTTTTTATCCCCTGAAATTGGAGATAAATATGGACTGCAGCTATTGAACTGTACTTGCTTGTTTAGTATTTTTTTATTTGCTTATATCATTACTCTCAAATTCTTTACATGCATTTACGCAGTCAACATTTCTATGAGGATCTGAACATGTGAAACTACAACGTTTTAATGACGATTCCTATTTAAAAGGCATGGAAATGTCAGAGCTTATTATAGTGATTTACTAAAAAGCTGCACATACTATGGGCAGACAATATATAGACTTCCTCCAGCAACCCTGACAACTGCCCTTTAATCCTGACCTACAAAATTCCTGATATTCCAGTCCTGGTCCTCTCTCTGAGCACAGACTTGCAATTGTGCAGAAATGGGTTAGTTTTACTGTGGGAACCAAAATTCATCAGGGACAGCAGCGAGATCTCAAAACACATTCCACTAGAAACTGAATCAAAAATTTGAAGCAAGATCTCCAGAAGTGAAAGCTCTGTGGCTTAATCCGCGGTGCTATTTACCCACAAACTTGTTTGTTCAAATGCATTTCCCTGGACGAAGACTGTTATTCCTGAACGAAGACAATGGAATCTAGAGACGTGCCCAGTGCTAAGAATACTTCAGTTACAATTTTTATTTGGATTTACGATGAAATCCACAGCAGGATGCAAAATATACTCAAAAAGGATTATGATTATTTAGCTACTCTAATGATTTGATAATCTAACATCACAAAGAGTTTTAAAAGTAGAAATGCAAACTAAATATGCATAAACTATGCCTCAAGGTTATGCCTCTGGAGTAGAAGTGATTATTGCATCAGAATAATAAAAG